CACACTGTCTTGAGGGAGTCTGCTTCTTTAGGTTCTCCATCAACCATGTTTCCCTGAAAGTTGACATAAAATCTATGATTTTCTAGTAGACATCCTATAATTTTCATGAATTTAAAATCCTTGTAAGGTGAAAGACTTTCTTCAACAGGGCTACATGTTGAAGAAACCACACTGAGATAAATGAAACCTCACTCCTATGATTTCCTTCAGTTTGAAGCCATCCTCTGTGTACAGTATTGGATTAATTTGAGCTGTTCAGTTTTTGCCGGGCCTGAAAATTAAAGTTAAATTATTAAAGTTAAAAAAATATAGTTAAAATATTGGGAATGTAGTAAAAATATTGTTTAAATATTTAACACATTAGCATAAAATATAATTGTGAAATTTTAATAAATAATAGCCAGGAAATTGCAAATCCAAATTTATCAATTTACTTTTTTTTTTTCAATTCTACAAGCAATTATATAAACTTGATGAAATGGCTGATCAACATCAAATGGTTGCTTTTTTTAAAATAAATCATATTCACCCATTATCATAGGACTTTACTGATATTTTGAAAACTCTTTTGAAAAAGAGATATTAGAGACATTTGATGAAAAACAAGAAAATCCTTGATCTGAATTGCTTCTCTGTTGAATGGTATATAAACCATTTAGAGGTTTCTTATACCCAACATTTTTAGAGTCTATAATCATTTAAATTCAGAAAATTGCCTTTATCATTTTGAGACATATATGATGCTGATTTTAAAACTAGATGAAGTTCTAAATTCTATGCAAGTTAATAATTTGGATATTAAACTATTAATTGCTTTGTTGGTTAGTAACTGCAGAGGATGTTATAATACATAATTTCATTTCAATCAATTGATTAAAAGTAGATAAGCATCAGATAATTTTTACTTATTAATTGTATTCTGGATATAGCTCAGAATAAATTGGATTATGATCTATTAATATCTTTGAATGCTAAAAAGCTTTTGACAAGATTCAGATTAATTTTCTACAGCAAATAGTTTTAAGTATGAATTTTTACCTTGTACAATGATGTGCAATTTATTATTTTCAATCAATGGCAAAATTAATAACAGATTAATTTCTGGATGAATTGATTACAATATGGCATCTCAGGTTGTCTACTGTTTCTACTGCTTTTTACTCAATTCTGGAACTAGTATGTGGGAATAACCCTGAGAGACAAGGGAAAAAAATGCTTCCAAGGAAATGATCAAGCAAGAAGTGGGGAGCTCTTAGTGGCTTATTGGTTAGTAGAAGAAATTTAGGAAGAATTTATCCTAATTGATCAGCTGGTTAAAAATGGCATCAGAAGGCTTGTACTTTTAGACTTGCATGATTTTGCTACTATAAATGTACAATAAAGTAGAATTAGCTCATCTAGTCATATTTATCTGGTTTACATGAGAAGGCTGGTGGAAGCCATATGCTAGCAGACTCTAATTATTTTTATTTGCTGATGCTATTTGACAATATTAGGTCATTCTTATACCTCATTACCTAACTTGATATAGGTGGTTGAAAAATTTGGAAAATACTCAGATTATAAGATTAAGTGAGAAAAGAATAATTAATTTACTTCCTGTGGGATTCTTTTAAAATCTTAACAATTATTTGGATCAACATACAGCAAAAAGGGTCTTTTTATGTTCTGGTTTGTAAGCAGGTAGATATATCTGGGTTCTGTTGAGGTGTAGATTGGATTTTGATGCTGAATCTGATGAATGCTTGAATTTATGGAGAAATTTATTTTAAAAATAGGCAGTAAGTATATATTCCAAGTAAATAGGGGAAAGTATGAACAAAGGGAAATAGTTACTTTAAATCTATTATTTTGTAATGATTATTTTAAGGAATTTCATGATTTCAGCTAGAATTTTCTTTGTCTAATAGACAACAGTTTGATATAGTAAAGCATGTTTTGATTGCTCAGTATGGACATTTATTTGCCTCAAAGACTAAAATGCTATCATTTCCATTGGAGTCTGCACCTGAAATGTAATACATTTTATATCAATATAATAAATTTTAAAATATATTTTACATTACTAAGATTTATGACTTACAAAGAAGCAAGATAGTTAGGGTATTGAGGCTTTTGAAGTCAGTGATAGTCCAATTCATGACATACTATGGACAATTTAGAAAAGAAAAAAATGGATCATTGAGCAAATCAACCCTGAGATCTCACTTGAGGTACAAATTACCAGGCTCAAACTTTGGACATACTATGCAAAGACCCAGTTCTCTGGGAAAGATTCTGGTAATGGAAAAGGTGGATAAAATGACAAAAACAGGAGACAATAGCAAGATCAGTCGATTCAGTTACAGTGGTGATGGGTCTGCTGTTGGAAGACCATTACTGAACAGGTAGTCTTTGACTTACAACCACAATTGAGCCCCAAATTTCTGTTACTAAGTGAGACATTTGTTAAGTGAATCACTGCTGTTGTTAAGTTAGTAACCCAGTTATTAAGTGAATCTGGCTTCCTTGATGACTTTGCTATCAAAAGGTCACAAAGTGTGATCATTTGACCCCAGGACATTGCAATCATCGTAAATATGAGTCAATTACCCAAGCAGCCTAATTTTGATCATATGACCAGGGGGGGTTTGCAATGGTTGTAAATATGAAAAATAGTCATGTCACTTTTTTCAGTCCTATTGTAATTTCAAATGGTCACTAAGTGGACTGTTGTAAGCCAAGGACTACGTGTATTGTTGTTTTGGATTTTGCTATCCAACTATCTTCCTGCTGTGGATTACGATTGTACTAAGACATAAATTAGATGCAGATAGAAAATTCTGGAAGTTTTTTGGAAATGAAATCAGTAGGAGTAAAAAGACCTCCTATTTATATGAAAGATTAACTATTCAGGACTCAATAAACAAAGAACTTCCTGATGCTGAGAACGATGCTGGAAATGAAGAAGAGGGGAAACTTCAAAACAACTAATGTCAATACTGTCTGCCTGCAAGAAACACATATACAACAAAACCCACAATCTTCCCCTCAAAAAAAAAAACATGCAGGCACCTAGCAAGAAAATAACTTCAAATATCCCTAAAAAAAATCACTTCAAACATCCCTAAAAAAAAGTCACAGCAACAAATACACCAGAGATAAACAGACAAACACCCCAGACTGCAGCCCCCCCCCCAAAAATAGATTCTATCCTCAAAGGAACGGAATCATCCATCTGCAGACTGGACATACAGTCTAGTGAGGTACGTTGTCTCCCTGGAGCAAAAATCAAAGATGTGGCTGAGAACCTAATCAAAATAATTAGGCCTATAGATTACTACCCCTTCCTCCTCCTCCATATTGGGATAAATGACACAACAAGCAACCTGAGTACAATAGTGAGAGACTACATACAACTAGGCAATAAAGTTAGGAAGCTAGGAGCACAAGTAGTGTTCTCATCAGTACGCCCAATGAAAGGCCAACACCCATTGAGGGAAAGAAAAATTCTATAAATAAACCATTGGCTAAAGCAGTGGTTCTCAACCTTTTTAATGCCGCGACCCCCAACCGGTTGTAAGTCGAGGACTACCCGACCGGTTGTAAGTCGAGGATTTTTCCTGCCCGGGACCGCCGCGCATTTGTGGAGCCGCCCCCTCCGCCGGCCAAGGTGTAGCTGGCAAGGGGCAGTGACGGCGCAGGGCGACCACCAGCTGGCCCAGCCAAGGGAGGTAAGGCACCCGCTGGGCCCCACGCGCGCCAGCAACCCTCCCTGCATCCGCCGGCCTCCCACCTCCCACCCCTGGCCATCTTTTACTTACATTTTTAGTAATTGCGCAGCAGGGAGGGGTGGAAGCTTCCAGACAGCTCGCCTTCACTGCAGACAACTTGCAGCACCGTTTGAGAATGGGACTTTTGGCGGGCTCAGCAGGGCAGAGACAGCCTGGACAATTCCTATTGGCTTTTGAAAGCCAATAGAATTAGACTCTATTCAAGAGAGTCTATTCTATTGGTTTTCAAAAGCCAACAGAATAAAAGGGAGTAGCACAGCTAAGGAAAAGGGGGGGAAATGGTGGACTGCATTGTTTGGCGACCCCCATGAAATGGTCATTCGACCCCAAATGGGGTCGCAACCCACAGGTTGAGAACCGCTGGGCTAAAGGGTTCGTGTCGCCAAGAAAACTTTGGTTTCCTGGATCATGGACTTAATTTCCTTCGCGAAGGACTCTTGGCAAGGGATGGGCTGCACCCCATGAAAACGGAAAAATGTACTAGAAAAAAACTGGCCCAACTCATCAGGAGGGCTTTAAACTAAAATTGAGGGGGGAGGGTGACCAATCTTCAGAATCTCTACAACCGAAAACCAATCATAAATCCCAAGAAAACAAAACAAACAATGAGGTGGGCAGAAATGAGAAAAAAGAAAAACTCAAACAACATTCAGAAGATGTAGGAAACATACCACAGAAAAGCACAAAAGTCTTAAATGCTTATATACAAATGCTCAATGCTTGGGGAACAAACAGAGCCCAAAACCAGACCATGACTCAAGGGCAACTAAATGAACAAATACCATTTGCATCACACACAAGATACTTAAACATTAAGATTATGGCCCAGCAACAACAAACAGCCAATCAAACAGCCTGAAACCAGACCATAACTCAGAAACATCTGAACAAATAACACCCACACCAATTTACACCACACAAAAGGTATTTAAAGACCAGTGCTCTGACAGACAAGCACAATTCAAAGTGTACTGAAGATGTCCCCCTGAATGGAGACGAAATGTTTGCAGCCAAATCGCAAAGCTCAGAGATCAAACCAACAGCCCAATAAAATACTATATAAGTGTCATGCAGACCTCTCAGGAAAAGCACCATAATTAATAAGTTCTCTTTCTCACTTTTCCATGTGAAATTCTCTGTGTGTCTCACTTCTGAATGTTTTATTCTCTGTTCATTGATGAAAAGTTATCTGAGGCAAGCCTGTGTTTTGTTCTTTTCTGTTTGTAGCAAAGGGATGCTATGCAAAACAACTTAAAGAAACTGCAGCAGAAGATGGCTATCATTGAAGCTGTCCTCAAACAGGGAAGCCAGAATGTTGGCCCTGAAGGATGGTCACAGGAAGGAGAGGAAACTGATTTCAAAAGAGACAAGACAGAAACAAGAAAGAGTGAGTTGGCAGTGCTCTGAAACTGCCTTTCTTTAAAAAATAATAAAATCCTGAGAATTTAGAATTTTTTTCCTAATTACAAAACATTAACAAAATATTCATTTTAAATGGAATATCTTGTTATGAATTTATGTATAAAATGCATAGATTATTGAATGAATGCATTTCATACATAAATCCTCTGGTTTTTATCAGAGAAATATTAAATCGCTAATTTGCTGGGTTTAGTATACACTGTAGGAATCAAGCATCCACTAGGAACTAACTCAAAGCTGAGAGGAACAATCCATTGTAGGTGCTTTCTATTAATTTCCTTCTGGTAGTTTTATCTGTACTGTTTCATTCTAAACACATGCCTTCTGTGTGGTACAGTACCGTGGTATAGATTGCCACTGATGAATTATAGAGTTAATTTTGTTTTGTTACTAGTGGAGTTTATGAATATTAACTCTGAATTCTGTTGCCATGACAGTAGTTTTAAAATGGATTTCTATTGCATTGTGAGGTGTATTAGCTAGTTGAGGAAAATAAACTAGTTTGGTCTTAGGAAAGCTATCCAAGAAATGAACTTGTTCCAGGATTTTTCTTTGCAATTCTCTTGAACTGTGCTTCTACATAAAGAAGATTAGTTTAATTATATCATCAGAAAAGCCAATTATGTTTCATGGCACAACAAAATATACAATAGTGAGATCTCAGAGGCTTATATGTTTTGACATTATATTGAAGTAGAAGAACTGTAGGTAATAGATATAATTAAGAGCCTTCTAAAGAAGGATGGTTCAGGTGAACAGAGCACAAATCTCTGCCAGTTTCAAGACACTCTAGGATGCTGCAATGAGAACCAGATTTAAAATATCAACGGGAACAATAAAGTTGCTTCCAGGGGCTAGAAAAGAACCATTCTAAATAGACAAGGTGGATCAGAATTACTAGGACAGCTGAATTCTTTCAAAAGATTCTGTTCAATAGATTGCCACATTGCGTTGGAATCCTTGTAAATCTCTAGGATGAGAACGTTCTGGTGAAAAGCAGAATAGCCATACCTGTGAAGTATTTAGAGATACTATATTTTGCCTTGAGAATGATACAAATTTAAATGTAATCTCAATTTCGAGTAACATTAGAGTTAGTAATCCCTATTCTCAGTCACTTTCAGACAGCAATTCCATGGCATGGCTGTCTAGATTAAATTAATTTAAGCTTGTGCAAGACTGGTTTTGTTTTGTATTAAATAATATTTTGAGATCAGGATCATTGATGTCTCCACTATCTATTAATCCTCCCACTTACCCAATTAAGTATGTTATGTAATGGACTTTATCAAATTTCTCATGAGTCATTTTCTAATTCTCTGGAGATCAAAGGAAAGCCCAAACATTTTACTGTAGTCCGGAGAAATAAATCAGCAATTATTTCATTTAAATAGTAATAATGTTTGATTTGGAGAAAAAAGAAACCAATATTTCTGATTTTTATATGATGTTAAGCAAAGTGCAAGTGGAAATGTTTGCATTTCTTAGCTGTAATGGCTAAGTTGGGGAAAATTAATTAGGAGTGTGTACTGGAATGCTGTTTGTTCTTGAATAGGCTAAGTATTTAACAATTCTCTCTATATATACTTTAAGAACAGAAATATATTACTTATCATAAATTTTGGGAACGCTATGATCTTTTCTTATATGCTATTTATATACAAGTCCATTTATTACTACCTCCTATGTAGTGAATCTGAAATATTTTTTTCTGGGTTTGAAGAATTATATCCAGAAAGAATCTTATTCGTTGTGAGAAAAATACATTAATTAAAAACAATATAAAAATACATTAATTTTGGTGGAACAATCTTAAAGATGCTTGTTTTTGTAGGATCTCCAAATCCAATGAAAGCCAGTTCCTTCAATTGCTATAAATAACAGAACTGAAATATGAAATTAGTGAAATCAATTAATTAGTTTCCTTTGTATCCTGAAACAAATTAATGCAGCCCTTGTTTGGTCTTTCATATCATAATAAAATATTATGGGTCATCTCATAAAAGTTTTAACAGATTATATTTATTGATAGCTTGATTACAAATTACAGTTTGTTCTCTTGGCTAGTTTAAAAAGTCTTTTGCTTTTTAATTACTTTTTGGAGAGAGGAAATATATTAAGGCTGTTCAGAAGTAGGATAAACAAGAAGCACAAGGATTATTGCCTCAGGTCTTTAAGTTTTTTCCATGTTTTATCTTCTATTTTATCATCCATCCTGCAATGTGTATCACTTGACATTCTCTACTTTTAAAATGTGATTGAGAATTAGAAGTATAATTTGAATATTATGAAGGTCATATATTTAGCTGCATGCCCAATAGACATTAAAAGATACAGGCACCTCTAAGAAGGAAGATTTTATATTTAATATATTTTTGTTAAAAAGGTAATTTTAAAATAATTATTGTTAAATATAAAAGATGCCATTAATTATATAAACAAGATTTTTTTTTCTTTTCTTTTCTAGAAATGCACACTGTATTGGAAAAACCAGTCTCTCCTTTGGCACATACCACCTGCTGTAGCACAAAGCAAAGGAATAGAAAGAATCTACTTTGGACTGGAGGCCAAAAAATGTCTCTGGTGGCATCTGGGCTAAACCAGAGTGAATTGGTAAGCATGTTCTGATATGCTTGTAGATTTTTCACAGCAACAGATATAAACTTCTCTGAGCTTTAAGATTTTACGGGAGGCATTCTTTTAAAGATAAACCTCCTTTCATAGCTACTTTATTAAAAGTATAAAGCAATAAAACAATAAAAACAGAGATCATACATATCAAAAATATTCAAGTGTTTAAACATATAAAATTCTATACGGATTACATGCCCATCCCAACAATGAGATTTTCAGCAATAGTTTGAGTATCAACCATAAAGTATTTGAAGGGGTGCATTTTGAAAGGGCAAGTGCTGCAACAAAGAAGAGACATGCAGTGTAATCTGAATGGAACTGAACAAGTAGAAAGTTAATTGAAAGAAAACATTCTTCTAGCCAATAGGACAACCAATTGAACTGGCTTAATTTGTCTTACCTATCACCAAACTAAGTCACTGGAAGTGCTCCTAGACTTGGCTTTGACTTATATTCCAGTAGCAGCTGTGACTCACTTGTGTTCAGTTAGGCTCATCTCCTAGTTGGACCTGTTTCTAAAATTTGTAGTAGGTGACTATGTAAATATCCAAGGATAATTATTTCTCCTATAAGAACCATGATGGCGCAGTGGTTAGAATGCAATACTGCGAGCTAACACCACTGCTCACTCCAGGAGTTCAATTCTGAATGGCACAAGATTGACTCAGCTTTCCCTCCTTCCAAGATCGGTAAAATGAGGACCCAGATTTTTTGGGGTAATATACTGATTCTGTAAACCGCTTAGGGCTGTAAAGCACTGTGAAGCATATATAAGTCTAAGTGCTGTTGCTATATGAATGTACTTATTGGCTCCATGCTGATGGCATTCTGTTGCTATGTGATGGTCTGTCAAACTACTCATTTCCTAATTCTTTAAACCATTTTAATTTTGGATCTTATTTCTTCTATTATGTTTTTATAGTTCACAATCATATTATCAGAGTAGGATAGTTAATTTATGAAAAAAGTGAAATATACATTTTTCTAATAAATGAAAAATTCCATTGAGGCCAGCAATCTCTGATGTACTGATAAAACCAATTATTTCTAATTCAGTTTTCCTTTTCGTCTAGCAACTAGTACGTAAATTTGCCAAGAAAACAGAGAGTACTTGGTCTAATAAAATTACTGAAGAAACAACCCATGTAATAATAAAAACAGGTAAGTTAGAAGTACAGAAATGAACTTCCTATTTGTTTTGTTTTCATAATTGATTAGGTAGGTAAGTATGCCTTTAGGACTAAGAGATCTGAATTTAATATTAATATGCAATAGCTAGTCTTGCCTATTTTAGATTTTTCATGAGGTTCTGCCAAATTTTATTTTACATGGTAGCTCATTCATGTTCAGAGGTGTTCTTTCTAGTTGTTAAATATTGGATATAGTGATTAATACAAAATTCTTATTATATCATATATTGCTAATATTCCTCCCAGAAGCATCTGGCTAGCTGTTTTCTGACAAAAAATATTGGTCAAGATATCTCTTAATAATTGTGATTGTGTGTAATGGTATTGGAAGTCCTGAATGAAAATCCATACATTTCCTGTTACATTTTGGTTCCATTTCCTGTTTTACACTTGTATGCAAAACTATAATTTTTCTTTTTGTGTCCCAGCATTGTAACAGCAGAACACAATAAAATGTGATTCAATGTTTGAATCTGTATCTAGAATGCAAATAAAGGCTACAAATCAGCTAGAAAAGTTAACCTTTGGGTAAAGAACTGCTACCTATTATTCAGGGTACTGTGTCAGCTTCCTTTGAACTAATACAGTATTTAAATTGGGTGTATCACAATTGAGAGTTAGTGCAGTTTTGGTCAGCCTGATGTTTTCCACAAATATTCTTCTAGCTCCTACATAAGTTGGGAATTCTGGGATTGACAATCCAATAAATATTGAAGTGAGGAAAAATATAGTATTCCTAAAAAAATCTATTTCTTTCCCACTTTTGAATATCAGTACCTATATTGCAAATAGTACCTATTTTTTCAGCCTTTAAAGCTACATGAAAAGAAAAGAAAAGAAAAAAAGAAAAAGAAAAAAATCCTAAATCATATATGATTATTGTAATATTACTCCAAGAGCTAATAAGATCATATGCTAACATAGAAGTCTTGTAAGTTGTTTTTCTCTTACTTCATTTGTAGAGTCTGTAATCTGTGGCTGCTATTTAGCAATTTTGCAAACTTAGGGCACCAAAAGAGCCACTGATCTTTGTTTGAATGACTACTTACCTGCCTCTGCACTATTGCTACAGCTGATGGTAATACAGTCTTCTGTTTTTTTATCTATAGTTAAGAAGACTCCATTCTATCATTTGCATAAAGGAGGCTGAGCTTTTTTGTAGTCTGTATTTTAAGATACAGTTTGCCATTTTGTTTTATGTTGTTTCAAACTGTTATATTGGCCAGACTATGAAAAATAGCATTTTAAAAGGAAGTATGTAATTGTTTAAAATAAATCAGTAAAACTCCAGTCTCTGCTTTTGAAATGACATATTTTTGAAAGCAGTTTCTGACATTGTGTGAATACCTGCTCTAAGGGAAACATTTAAAAATAGTGAATGGTCTTTATTCTTTTAATATTGAACATTAAGTGATTTTTTTTTCCTTTTTAATCTTTAGATGAGGATCTGGTCTGTGAGAGAACTCTGAAATACTTTATAGGTATTGCTGCACAAAAATGGGTATTGAGCTACCAGTGTAAGTGTGAATATTCAGAAAAAAAAAATCTCCTTCCTCTCTCCATGCACACTCCCTTTCTGGTGCTCCGTGTATGTCAGTTTAGTGTTCAGGCATAGGTGTTATGTTGTTTTTCAGGTTAATAAAGACAGGTCCCTCAAAGCAAGAGAGAACATTGAACAGAAGATGGGGCACATATTTATACATTTTCTTTGCTACCATTTTGTCACACAGGAGAGCTGGCACATAGTAAATAAAATAAAGAAGTACAGAATAGTCAACCTCCTCCCTTGGTGGCATTCCAAAGACATTGGGTGGTACCTCAGAGACAATGGGTGTTTTCTGGGGACTTTCCATGATTTTAAAGGCCTGCTGAGGTAACTGGGTTAATTGCACATATGTTCCATCAAACCTATCATTAAATTCCTGATCAACATAGACTCTTATTTGTAAAAGTTCGTATCATTAACATACATTAAATTATTGTAACTTAGCTGTGCAATTATATCTGACATTTCGCCTTTAGCTAAACAAGTAACATTTCATCAAAATTCATCCAATAAAGCAATATTAAATAATATAGGAAAATAGAGGCAATAAAACCATATTGGACAGTTCCATAAATCCACAGAGTGTCAACTAGTAGTCAAAAGGAAATGTTGTCTTTAGTAAATGTCAAACAGTATAAAAAGAGATATTCACATTTTCTATCTTGACTGACACCAAGGATAGTTCAAGACTGTTTTTTTCTTGAGCAAAACCAGATAAGATGCTTGTAGATTTTCAAAGTATATGCCACTACCATTCTTTGCATAACACCATGAAACACACAAATTTTATAAAGAATCTTGCATGAGCTTTGAAGATCATGTATGAATTGTGAGCAAATAATCTATGGAATTGTTATAGCAAACTTAGTTTAGTTTAGTTTGCGTACATCCGATCTTTCAAATCCTTTAAGCTAAGCTAAGCAAAAATTAAGGAGCTCTGATGCTACATTTTCCAAAGTTTTATCTAGGGTCATGCTAACAAAGGTAGATATATATATTCATATTGTTTCATTTTTATATCATTCTCCAAGAATCCTAGAATATGATTAAAAATGTGGAAAATTGTTATTGAAAATATGGGGACAAGAGAAGAAAAGAAAACCAAGCATTTAGGTGTGCTGGTTATTTCATATAATTTAATTTGATTGTTTCTGGTCACCAGAAATTTTTTTTTTCCTGTGACTATGTGATACATTATTCTGCCTACACTGCTCTTAGAGGGACTGGCGTTATCTCCAGAAGTTAACCACAAACTATTTCAGCCGTGGAATTCTTGTAGAGAATGAATTTTAAAATCTATAAGGGGTAGGGAAGTGAGGTTTCTAGCGATGCATTGTAATATTGCTAGCAGGCAGTATTATGTAAATATGGATTTACCCTTTTGCAACAATTTACAGTTTTCTGTTAGTATCTTTAAAATAAATGTTACAGATGGTAAAAAAGTACTACTTTAAATAATAATAAAAATTTCTGCTTCAACCCATGTAGGGATTATACAGTCACTCGAAGCAGGAAGAGTTCTTAAAGAGGTATGACTGGCGTTTGTGGGAGGGGATAGGTAATTGATTAGTATATCTTTTTTTGCCATTCCTTTAAATGCTTAGTCTTATACAATTATCAGTACAGTGATAGTAATGGAATGTTTGTATAATGTATAACATGTGAATTTTACAAATTTTCAACTGAAAAGTATCTGGCATATTTTAAAATCTAAACTAAGAAAATATATTTCTGAGTATGTAAAAAAATTACTTGTAGATGAAAATCCTACAATTACAGTGGTAACAGCCAGATTTTTAACTATGGCTATAAAATTTAAGCTATTAATAATGAACCAATGATTTACTTTAAGTCTATTATGTAATTTTTACTAAATAGTTTAGTTGTTTTATCCAGTACTAAGTTTATATTGTGTTTGTAACTTGCTTTGGGGGCTTTGGGTTGTAAACAAAATTGATTGATTGATTGAATATTTAGTAGAGTCTAATGACCAAGAAGAAAATAGACATGAAAAATAGAGAAATCCTTAGTATGTCTGTGAATTGCCTCCTGAGAGGAGAAGAACAACTAACAACAGGGGAGCCATTCTTTAAGGATCGGAAACACAATTTCCGAACTTCAACTGGGGCTTCTTTTCTCTTTCTTCAGGCACTTCATCTGACATTTTGTCTGTAACATGCTAAAATGGAATCAAGCCACAGAAATTTAGAAATATAACACAATAATTAAAAAAATTTAAAATATAACACAATAAATGTTCTGTTTTCCAAAATAACAAACTTTGGTCAATTTAAATGGATTGCCAAACTTGTTGGATGAAAGAAGGTATTAATATTTAGCTGGGGTAATTTCTGCGGTGCTACTGTCAACACTGCAATGATCTTGGCTAAAACCATTTTTGCTTCATTTTCGGTTGCCACAGTACTGGGAGGGGGGATGAGTGGTTTTAAGTTTAGACTAAACAGTAAATTGTCCCATGGGAATCAAGGTCACTGCTGCCTGACTTGGTGGGCTGAGCCTTCCGTTAGAAAGTCCGCTAAAGTATTCTGTTGGGGAACATGGATAATTACATAGTGCTGGGGTGGGAAGTTCAACTTTGTAACATTGTAGCTCTTGGGAGGGAACTCCAGACTTGGTTTCACTTTTGACTATGCTGATACTTTGTAGCCAATAAATAAGTTCTTTAAGGAAACCTCTTGCCTTGGAGTTCTGCTTTTACTGGTTTCATCTATCAGAACCGTGACAGGGGTGTATGTCTTCCTGGACTTCCTAGGGTACTTAATTCTGCAAGGAGCCTAAGAGATTAAGATTAAGAATAATTTCTTATTCTCCTTTGCTGAGTTAGAGAGAAGCACTGGCAGTTAGGCTTTGTTCTGCATGTTTGAGATTCCTGGTTTGACAACTACCTTGAAGATAATGTAAATTGGTGGCAGAGATTAATGATCTGCAGGGTCTTATTTACCAATATTAGCAGAGGAAGAAATTATAACATGTTATCTATGGTGGCATTTAGCCCTGCCTGTTTTTCTGAATGACAGCTAGAATAACTGAATTATTTTCAATCTCTTCCTGGATCTCATTGTACACTGGAGTAACCGGAATATTTTTTTAGATGTATATCTTGGTCCCCTTCACCCCATTTTTTTTCATTTCCCCTCTCAAATCTTTATGTATCTGAACTAGAGTAGACTGTATGCTTCTTATGTTGAAGGGAGAAGTTGAAGAATATATTGTGCCTTCTCATTCTAGAGGCCACCAATTAGAAAATGAATAGATTTTCTCAAAAAGCTTTTTATGCTATAATTTCGATCCTCAGTGTATATAACATGCCATAGCTAACCTGTGTGCTCAGTTACCATCCTATCCTGCCATTGATCAAATTGCTGTATTATTACTAAAGATGAATATTCAAATTGCTATAGGGGATTTGCTTAATTAGATAATGGTTTCCTGTTCAATATAACTTAATTATCCTTTTTAACAATAAAATATAGGATAAGAATTACATTGCTACAGTCATACATTCTTTCTACTGGTTCAATTTGGATATTTGATTCCTACATGCCACAATTCTTTTTCTGCTTCAGTCATATAAGATATGGCTCTGTCAGGATTTCTTTGGCATCTGATTCCATTTATATTGTTTTCAGGAAGATTTTGAAGTGAGAGGAGATGTAATTAATGGGAAAAATCATCAAGGACCTAAAAGAGCAAGAGAATCACCTGTTGGAAAGGTAGGACTATCGTAACTGTTATCCCACACACAAAAAAAGTTATCGCCAAAGTGTGCCCCTCTTCTTTGTCATCACAAGAAATGAATGCTCGCTGGAGAAAAAGGTTGCTTTCATAAAGTAGAATCCTGAAAAGGGCTTTCATTTTTCATTTTTCCTCAGGTTATGTTGATCCTTTGGAGGAGAATTGTAGAATGCAATTATATTGTATGTAAAATTGTCCAGATAAATAACACAGCCTACCTGAATAATTTTTGCAGCAATGCTTACTGCTACTAGCATTTCTTAAAATACACTTTAGTTTTTCAGATTCTTTAAGTGGCATCGTATTATCCCAAATGAGAATGGAGATGGAGATGGTGTGGTTTCCTCTTTAAAAATGACTTGTCCTCTGAGCATTAAATAATACATTCAGAAATCATAAGGAAAGGGACAGCCACAATTCAAAATGCCCTGTTGTCCTGTTGCCATAGAAGAACATAACTAATTCTCCTCCTCCCCCCAACAAGGAGGGAGAGAGATTATAATGAGAAATCATAGCTAGGAGTTTGTGCAAGTAGTGTTCCAGAAGCAGCAGTGCTTGCATCCTGCTATTTTGCTTTCATCATTTAGTTGGCCCATACTGTTCTTGGAATCCAAGGATTTGGAGGCTTGCTTCAGATCCTGCACAGAGGTGAATGCTGCATAGAATGTGGGTGGGAAGAAAGGGAGAGACCAGTTTAAGTTGGTCCCTTCTTTTCCCTAAGCATTTAATAACCCAAAAAGATATTTCCAGATTCCCTCTTGCCTTCCCTCTCAATAGGAAAGTCTGTTGCAAGCTAGATACTTGGTAGAAAGCTGGAAAGGTGAAATTGATGAAGCCAGTGCGACAGACATCAGCTATAGTAGTTCTCATTGACAAAACGTAGATAACATTAACCAGTAGTTATTTCAGCTTCTTTTCCAGTTCCATTGCCTTAATGGTTTTCTTTCAGGTGGAGGATATAGATGTGTATAGTACTTGTTTATCTTTTCTTCCCTATGAATTTCTCTGCCTTTAAGAATTTTACTTTCCAAAGTTTCTATTTCTCAGCCATTTCTGTACTCAGTACCTAACTATTTTTTAAAGGTGAAGCAGATTAATTGATTTGGGGGGGTTAACAATTTAAATATTCAGAAATCTCACATTAGATCTTTCTCCCGTCTCACCAAAATGTCTCATTGTCAGTCTTCTGCAGCTGATATATTCCATTGTCAGGCAATGATATTCCCGAATGTAGTTTTTATTGTTCTCAAACCTTATTAGCTGGATACATTCCAACCTAGTTGGTAATTTAAATCACACCATTTGAACTTTCCAAGTTCTTATTTCATGAAGTTTAATTCTACATCATGCTTACATATTTGTTTTCCTTTTACTTCCTTCCCAGCTTTTCCAAGGATTGGAAATTTGCTGCTATGGGCCATTCACTGACATGCTTCCAGGTAAGAGTATTGGGATTCTTGATGTAAATTGAGGGAATGAATCTAACTGAAGTTTCAAGGAGTCTGTACGCTTCTTTTTGGTAATGTAAGCAGTTGAGTTCTGTCAAGAAAATGATCTAACCTTTTGAGAAAAAGCTAACTAACTTTAATAGCTCAGGTTTTTGGGGTTTTTTTTGCTCATTCAGTGATATTTATCCTTTAATAAGGCAAGATTTATATCCTGCTACAGAGACATTTCTGAATCTTGAATTTGTTTAGCCAGATTAATATATATATGTTTGCCCATTTCATTCTGCTCCTAATTGTCATTAATAGAGATAATCATTCTGGCTATATAGATAGTTATACCCATTGTTGTTGTTGTTAATTGCGAAGTCGTGTCCGACCCATCGCGACCCCATGGACAACATTCCTCCAGGTCTTCCTGTCCTCTACCATCTTCTGGAGTCCATTTAAATTCACGCCTACTGCTTCAGTGACTCCATCCAGCCATCTCATTCTCTGTCGTCCCCTTCTTCTATTGCCCTCAATCTTTCCCAGCATTAGGCTCTTCTCCAATGAATCCTTCCTTCTCATTAGGTGGCCAAAGTACTTGAGTTTCAACTTCAGGATCTGGCCTTCTAAAGAGAAGTCGGGGTTGATCTCTTCTAGGACCGACCGGTTTGAACGCCTTGCAGTCCAAGGGACTCGCAGGAGTCTTCTCCAGCACCACAGTTCAAAGGCCTCAATTCTTTTGCGCTCAGCCTTTCTTATGGTCCAACTTTCACAGCCATACATTGCAACTGGAAAACCATGGCCTGGACTATACGCACTTTTGTTGGCAGGGTGATGTCTCTGCTTTTTAGTATGCTGTCTAGATTTGCCATAGCTTTCCTCCCCAGGAGCAGGCGTCTTTTAATTTCTTGGCTGCAGTCTCCATTTGAGGTGATCTTTGAGCCCAGAAAAATAAAATCTGTCACTACCTCCATTTCTTCCCCATCTATTTGCCAGAATTGAGAGGGCCGGATGCCATGATTTTGGTTTTCTTAATGTTGAGTTTCAAGCCAACTTTTGCACTCTCCTTCTTCACCCGCGTCAAGAGGCTCTTTAGTTCCTCTTCACTTTCTGCCATTAGAGTGGTATCATCTGCATATCTTAGGTTGTTGATATTTCTCCCGGCAATCTTAATTCCAACTTTTGTTTCATCTAGTCCTGCCTTTCTCATGATGTGCTCTGCATATAAGTTAAATAGGCAGGGCGACAGTATACAGCCTTGCTGGACTCCTTTTCCAATTTTGAACCAATCAGTGGTTCCGTGTCCAGTTCTCACTGTTGCTTCTTGACCGCATATAGGTTTCTCAAGAGACAAATGAGATGGTCTGGTACTCCCATCTCCTTAAGAACTTGCCACAATTTGTTGTGATCCACACAATCAAAGGCTTTAGCATAGTCAATGAAGCAGAAGTAGATGTTTTTCTGGAACTCCCTGGCTTTCTCCATGATCCAGCGTATGTTGGCAATTTGATCTCTAGTTCCTCTGCCTCTTCGAAATCCTGCCTGTACTTCTGGTAGTTCTCGATCCACATACTGCTGGAGTCTAGCTTGTAGATTTTAAGCATAACTTTACTAGCATGTGAAATGAGTGCAATGGTGCGATAGTTTGAACATTCTTTGGCATTGCCTTTCTTTGGAATTGGAATGTAAACTGCCTTTTCCAATCCTGTGGCCACTGTTGAGTTTTCCAAATTTGCTGGCAAATTGAGTGTAGCACTTTTACTGCATCTTCTTTTAAGATTTTAAATAGCTCAGCTGGAATACTGTCACCTCCACTAGCTTTGTTGTTGCTCAGATTTTCTAAGGCCCATTTCACTTCACATTCTAGGATGTCTGGTTCGAGGTCAGTGACCATCTCATTGTGGTTATCTGGGATGTTAATCTCATTCTTGTATAGTTCTTCTGTGTAGTTTTGCCATCTCTTCTTAATCTCTTCTGCCTCTGTTAGGTCTCTGCCATTTTGGTCCTTTATCATGCCCATCTTTGCATGAAACGTTCCCTTCATATCTCCAATTTTCTTGAAGATATCTCTGGTCCTCCCTGTTCTGTTGTTTTCTTCTATTTCTTTGCACTGTTCATTTAAGAAGGCATTCTTATCTCTTCTAGCTACTCTCTGGAATTCTGCATTCAATTGGGTGTATCTTTCTCTTTCTCCTTTGCCTTTCGCTTCCCTTCTTTCCTCAGCTAGTTGCAAAGCTTCCTCAGACAGCCATTTTGCTTTCTTGCATTTCTTTTTCTTTGGGATGGTTTTAGTTGCTACCTCTTGTACAATGTTGCGAACTTCCATCCATAGTTCTTCAGGCATTCTGTCTATCAGATCCAGTTCCTTAAATCTATTTGTCACCTCTACTGTATATTCATCAGGAATATGATTTAGTTCATACCTAAGTGGCCTAGTGCTTTTCCCTACTTTTTTCAATTTAAGCCTAAATTTTGCAACGAAAAGCTCATGATCTGAGCCACAGTCAGCTCCTGGTCTTGTTTTTACTGACTGTATAGAGCTTCTCCATCTTTGGCTGCAGAGTACATAGTCAATCTGATTTCTATGTTGACCGTCTGGTGATGTCCATGTGTAGAGCCGTCTCTTGGGTTGTTGGAAAATAGTGTTTGTTATGACCATCGTATTCTCTTGACAAAATTCTATTAGCCTGTGCCCTGCTTCATTTTGTTCTCCAAGGCCAAACTTGCCTGTTCTTCCGGTTATCTTTTGGCTTCCTACCTTAGCATTCCAATCCCCCATGATGATAAGGACATCATTTTTTGGTGTTAATTCTATAAGGTGCTGTAGGGCTTCATAGAACCGGTCAATTTCATCCTCTTCAGCACCATTGGTTGGGGCATAGATTTGGACTACTGTGATATTGAATGGTTTGCCTTGGATTCGAATTGAGATCATTCTGTCATTTTGGGGATTGTATCCCAGTATTGCTTTTCCTATTCTTTTATTGACTATGAAGGCTACTCCATTTCTTCTGAGGGATTCTTGCCCACAGTAGTATAACTGATGGTCATCTGAGTTAAATTCACCCATTCCTGTCCATTTTAGTTCTCTGATTCCTAAGATGTCGATGTTCAGTCTTGTCATCTCTTTTTTGACTACGTCTATCTTGCCTTGATTCATGGATCTTACATTCCAGGTTCCTATGGAGAAAAAATCTTTACAGCATCGGACTTTCCTTTCACCACCAGATATATCCACAGCTGAGCGTCCTTTCGGCTTTGGCCCAGTCGCTTCATTCTTTCTGGCGCTACTAGTACTAGCCCTCTGCTCTTCCCAGTAGCATATTGGACACCTTCCGACCTGAGGGGCTCATCTTCCAGCGTCATATCTTTTTGCTTTTTAGTACTGTCCATGGGGTTTTCATGGCAAAGATACTGGAGTGGTTTGCCATTTCCTTCTCCAGTGGATCACATTTTGTATACCCATATTCCGTCTCAAATTGTGATGTGGTTTGAATACTTGTCTCCTTATCTTTATTGATTTGCTTGATGAATAGTTCTTAAAATGCAAGTTGCAAAGATTATATGTTGATCTGGTTAAATGCTATCTCTTCATCTTTTTTCTTAAAATTAAATAACTTAGTATCAGGAAGAGGTAACGCTTAGAAAATTTGCAAATGGCACAAAATATAGGATAGTTAATATCTTGAAAGACTGAAATAAAGTTCAATATATCATCTTAATATTATTATTTAACAACAATCTTGGAAAAGGTGGTTTATGGCCTATAAAGGATTTTCAGCTGTCGCAACATCTCCCCCCATGATCATGTGATTGCTTGACAACCTATTTGCACTTATGAATAGTTGCCAAATGATTCACAATCCTCTGTGCTAGCTTCCTCAAAAAGACAATGGGAAGCTGGCAGGGAACGTTGCCCACCCCTCTGAGACACTCTATGCTATTTACTTGGGGCTCTGTCCACATTGCAAACCACAAGATCCTTAATGACCATAACTGGGAGTGTTGGGATAACAATCATTGTGCAAAGCAGTCGCATATTGTCTTGCTTAACTATTGTTTTGTTGAAAAACTGAGATTCTAATCCCAATTATGATCATAAATTGAGGATAACCTGTACAAGTCTAAATTTGGTAGTTAATTTTTGTGACCAGTTCCATTTTTACAGAATTCAGACATATAGACTATGCAACTGAAGAATCCAAAACAAATTTGCTTATAATGTCTGTAGTCATCAATTTGGGCTTAATATCTTATTGGGGGGAGGGGGGAAGGATAAAATACTTAGTCATAATATATAATGTATTTTGTTTATCTTTTGGGAATTTCTCAGAACAACTGGAATGGATTGTAGAACTCTGTGGCGCCTCCCTTGTGAAGCAACCTCACTTATTTGCACATGCAACAGTAAGCTTGATAACTGTATGGGCCAGTTTTAGAAAGGAAGATATCAATAAACAGCATTTCCCACCTTCTCTTTATTTTTTTCAAAATTTCTGGTAAATTTAGCTGGTTCTGCTTAGATATAGAATCAGATCAATGGCTTATCTTGCCTTGTATTGCTACCTAGAAATCCTCTCACCTAAGTCATTGAAAATAAACATAGAGCTAAGGGGCCGAATACTCTCTTCTGCCGATGCCTGCACCTCTGTGGGATTGCAATATATCACCTACTAACAATGCTTGTGTACAGTACTCATTTCTTTTTAAGAAAAAATATGTTTGTGAATGAGTGGTGATATATCAGTGTATGGCATCTATTAAACTACAGCAGAGGTCTTCAAACTTGGCCCTTTTATAACTTGTGGACTTCAACTCCCAGAATTCCTCAGCCAGGCATGCCTGGCTGAGGAATTCTGGGAGTTGAAGTCCACAAGTCATAAAAGGGCCAAGTTTGAAGACCCCTGAACTATAGTGTGTAACCTTTATATTCTGTCATAGTTTCCCATGAGTATCAAATAACTCCTTTCACTTTCATTTTGTCACTTAGAGTAATTGTTTGCCTGTGAAATCTTTATTTCTTCTGTGAGCCCCCATCTGATTGGAGTACTACAGCAAAGCTGAAGATTAGTATGCCTTAGCAGTACAAATGATTGCATACAGGAAAGATGCATTGATCCTATATGCCACTTTCCTTTTCCTTTTTGTCTCTTATCCTATAATCATTTAGAACTCCACTGCTGTGATAGTTATTCAGCCTGATGCATGGACAGAAGAAAGCACCTGCCAAGGTGAGATGATAATGCTGCTTGTGTCTCCCAAGTCATAAAGGCTTTACAAAATGTCTGACTGACTTTTTGCTTGGTATAATAAAATATTGCAGCAAATAAACATGTGAGGAAATAAGTATGGTTGGCTTTAATCATCAGACATGACCGTCATTACCATCAACTTCTGTTCCCTAAGAAATTGGTAAAAGATATTGTTGTTCTTTAACAGTAACAGAGTTGGAAGGCACCTTGGAAGTCATCTAATCCAACCTCCTGTTCTCAGAGGAGACCTATATGCTATTTCTGATAAACGGCCATCCAGTCTCTCTTAAAAGCCTCCAGTGATGGATGGGGCACCCACAACTTCCAAAGGCAATTTGTTCCACTGGTTAATTGTTCTCATTTTAGGAATTTTCTTCTTAGCTTTAGGCTGCTTCTCTCCTTGGTTAGTTTCCATCCATTGATTATTGTCCTGCCTTCAGGTGCTTTGATAAATAAGTTGCCCCCTTTTCCTTGTGGCAACTCTTTGTATACTGGAAGATTGCTAGCTTGTCACCCTTGTCCTTCTTTGCACTAAACTAGGTATATCCAGGTCCTGCAATTGTTCTTCGCATGTTTTAGCTTCTAGACACGTTATCATTTTGTTGCTCTTCTCTGAACTCCTTCCAAAGTTTCAACATCTTTTGTGTATTGGGATGACCAATACTAAGACTTTATAAAGCGGTATTAGTACTTCATATGATCTTGATTCTATCCCTTTGTTAGTGCAACCTAGGATTGCTTTTTTGACTGCTGTCGCATACTGTTGGCTCATGTTTAAATGATTGTCCACTAGTCTATACTCGTACTTTTGATTTTTCTTGCTGAAATGTAAAACCTTGTTTTCTCTGTTAAATTTCATATTATTGGATAAGGCCCAGTGAACTAGTTTATTGAGATCCATCTGGATCTTGGGCCTATCTTTTAGGACAGGATTCTTCAAACTTGGCCCTTTTATGACTTGTGGACTTCAACTCCCAGAATTCCTCAGCCAGGCACACTGACTGAGGAATTCTGTGAGCTGAAGTCCACAAGTCATAAAAGGGCCAAATTTGAAGATCCCTGTCCTAGGACATTGGCTATTCTTGCCAGCTTGGTGTCATCTGCCAATTTGTTGAGTTCCTCTTCTATACCCTCATTTAAATTGTTTATGAAGGTATTGAAAAGTACTGGGACTAATATATATATATATATATATGTGTGTGTGTGTGTGTGTGTGTGTGTGTGTGTGTGTGTGTGTGTGTTTTCTGAGGTTTTCGCGGGTGTTTGTATGTAGGTCTTTGGTTGTTCGGGTTTTCTCCCGCGTAAAATTGGAAGTGTCTTGGCGACGTTTCGACGAAGTCCCATTCGTCATCTTCAGGCTGGTGTTTTCAGCTTCGTGCTTCGAAGCACGAAGCTGAAAACACCAGCCTGAAGATGACGAATGGGACTTCGTCGAAACGTCGCCAAGACACTTCCAATTTTACGCGGGAGAAAACCCGAACAACCAAAGACATATATATACTTCTTACTTCCCTCTTTGTAGATATAGTTCTGTTAAGGACTACATGTTGAGTGTGGTTTGTCAGCCAATTACAAATCTATCTGGTGGTGATGCAATCTATCCCACATTTTTCTATTTTACCAAGAAGTAGATTATATCAACTGTCAAATGCCTCACTAAAGTCCAAGTATACTATGTCTACTGCATTTCGCTGGTTACAATTAGTCACTTTGTCAAAGAATGAAATAAGATTTGTTCGACATGATCTGTTTCTGATAAACCCATGTTGGCTACTAATTATAGCTTTGCTTGCTTTTAGTTCTTTCCAGATCTGCTGCTTGATCCTCCCAAGTGGTGATGTCAGGCTGATTAATCTATAGTTTCCTGGATCTGGTTTTTTTTTCCTTTCTTAAAGATGGAACCACATCAGCTCTTTTCTGGTCTCCTGTCAGTTCTCCGGTCCCCCCAGATATTTGAAAGATATGATTTACTGTCTCTTACAAAGAGAAAGAAATGGAGCAAGGAACTTTGAACTGCCTGCCTCTGCCCTGCACTGTTTAGAAGAAATGTCTGTGGTTTCTTAGTTTCTCCAAACAGTAATACAAATATCTTTCTGTTTTTCATATCTGCTTTTAGATAGTCAGAGAATCCAATTTAGTTGTAGGAATAAAAAGCTTCTCTCTTATCTATACACATTATCTTGTAAAGGATGGTTACAACAACAATGGAAAAAATTATGATTTTTCCATGCTTAGGTTAAGGCATTTGAAATGTTATTCCTCAAAATGGCTTAAAGAAAGAACTCTCAAAAAGAAGATATAGGCATTAAATGTCTCATTGCTTCTCTGGTATTTTGCAGAGCTCCCGCTGCAATGCAGCATTGCTGTAGTTTCACGTGAGTGGGTGCTGGACAGTGTTGCCTGCTATCAGTGCCAATCATTTAATGACTACATCTTTCAACAGGTATGATGGAATTAGTTCTTAGAATTATACCTGAACATTTTTGGAATAATTTTCTTTACAAAGAATGTGACATTATAAATATTCGTTGGCTTAAAAATGCCCTGCCGTTCACCAAAGATAGAATTAAATTGATAAATATCAATTTTCAGCATAGTTATTGCAGTGGATTACAAAATCATGTGTTCCTTATGTTGATGCAAATTATTTTACAACCCACTATTGCCTTGTTTGGAAAGATTTTTTTTCTTTCTTCATGATGTTATCATTTGCAAGAGTTAGAACAAAGATCTAGCTGGATAGCAGCTAATTGTCTGCTTGTTTCAATGGGAGAGTGTTCAAAGAGGCAGTTATGCTGGATCATTAGCATACCATATTAATATAAGCAAACCAGATTGGAGATGGCCCAAGAGATCACTGCAAGGGACCATAGGGTGATAAAAAGACATGTGAGGACTCAAATGTTTGTGTTTGATAATAAATTGAGTCAGAAATGTAATCTATTAGAAATTCATTATCTGTCTCACAAGTTAAAAGCAAACTTGATTTGATCATTACCACAATCACTGTAGTGAGTGTAGTTGGCCTTAAAACTGTATAGATTTTTTAATACAATAAAGAAACTTCAATAGAAAACTGAATGGGAACAATCTCACTTCTCCAGCTTGCCTGACAGCAGATGGTATATGCTAAAAGGGGAGAAAATCATTATCCTCTTTCATTCATCTGCCCATTTCAGGAAATTAAGTGGATAGGTGCAGAGGAAACAGATAACATTAGTGCCCTCAGTAAGGACTCCCTCACTGGTTTCTCATTTCGTCCAATAATAAACTTGGGCTATCTCACAAGCATATTTTACTCCCTATGCATGTGTGCACATGTTTTAAATTTTATGTTCATTTTTTGATTGGTGTGTGTTTGTGTGTGTGTGTGTGAGAGAGAGAGAGAGAGAGAGATATTTTCTCTGGATGTGGCAAATTTTCTGTTAATTAATATAATTCGTTTTCTGCAAGCAAAGATGCTTACCTGAGTCCCTAAATCTAAGCCCAAGGAGCCACTGAGGCTTTGTACATGCTTTGTTGGCTATATTTCTATTTCATTAGCTATTTTAATATGATATTTCTATTAATTAGGAAAGTTAGAGTATTTTGTTATAAGTATTACCCTTATATATAGGTAGTTCTCAACTTAGGACCATAATGGAGCCTGCCCATTATGGTCACAAGTTGTAATGATTGTTAAATGAGGTGCTCACATGATCACTCACCTGGTGATTTCAGTCTTGTACTCACTGTTGCATTTGTTAAGCAGAGCACACGGTTCCCCAAGAGTGGGGGGAAGTCGTGGGAGGTCTGGTTCAGGACCATACACTGCAGCACTTTTCCAGTTCACATGTGGCCTTCCAGGGCCTCCCCCTGCTCTCTGTGGCATCCCATGCTCTGTTTCCCAACCTGCTGGCTTGGGCCTACTTTCCACCCCTCTGAGATCCCCTTCCTTTTCCCCCACCCAACATCATGGCTTGGCCACTTATCTTTTTTGTAAATCTCATTTGAAAGAGCCAGCTGTTCAGCTGTGTAGCCTTTCTACACAAAGGTCGTGTGCGCTGTCCCAAAACTGTATCTCTCCAGTGATTGGCATTTGGGAAGGAGAGCAAATCAATCTGCCCCTCAGCCTTCCTATTCAGTATAGATACCATGAACTGTTGTCTCAGAAATGGGTGCTGTTTCAGAGTAGCCACAATTCCCCAAAGGGTGCCCACTTCTGGAATGGTGCCATATGGCTTCTGTGTAGAAAGGCCATGAGATGGAATGGCTGCTTCCCAAAGGAGATTTACGGAAAAGGTAAATGACCAAGCCATGATGGGGATAGGAAGGAGGTGTGGGACCAGGTGAGGTGGGAAGCAGGCCTAAGGCCTATGAGAACCCAGCAGAGTGGGATGTGGGAAAAGATAGACATGGGGGCACTGTACATCCCTGGAGATGTCATAAGGACAAGCAGATTTCCAAGCGCCTGAATTTTGTTCATGTGACTGTGGGGGCAATGTAGTAACCATACGTTTCTTCGTGAATATATTGCTGTAATATTTAAAGACATGTGCTAAGACTATTTATTTTTTTACTAAAAGTTATCAAAGATTAATTTAGCAACAGATTTTTTAAAATAATTCAGTGTTTGATGCAAATGCTTATAGCAAGTCATATGCATTGTCTTGATTTGAGGCTGTAAATACTGTAAACAGCATGGGAGGGAAAGGGGGATGGTGCAAACCAGAGTCAGTAAAAAGGGCAGTAAAGCATGCAGGCAGATGCAGCCAGCTAATGAAGGCCTGACATTCAGGAAAAACAAGAGGGTCAGTGATTGCCAAGAGTCCTTGCTCAAATGATCGATCTTCTATCTCCCTCTGTTCCCAGGAACCATCTTCCATGTCTGAATAGTAATGTTCTTATAGCCCAAATGGGATTACAGCTTTCAATAGTTTCTCACCTGCACTAATAAACGAGTTTTGGGAACTGGAGAAGTATCTATCCTGATTCATCCCTCGTGGTGTCTTCCATCAGATTCCAAGTCCAGGAGCAATCTCTAATGTATGCATTTATTTTCTTTAATTTCTTTAATTTATCTATTGCTTGTCATGCCATGTGTTTCCAGGTGGTGTACAAAATGAGCATACCTTTTGTACAATTCAGTTAAGAAGTAATAGTTGAAATAATAAAATATGTAAATCACATTAAAGACTGGCAGTAAGAGTCAGAAGACTAACACCTTAACATGTTATCAAATAAAAAAAAATTCTCAATTGGGTTTGTGCATGTTTTATTTGTAGTTGGATATTTTCCTCAGAGGACTGATTGCTCTGCAGTTTCTGTTTCCCTAGTGCCAGTCTCAAGTTCAGGGTCTAGTTTTTGCTTCTCTGTTGAGATGCAGGTGGTATTGACTGAACATGCTCTTCTTTTCCATGCCCTAGTTACTGCTCAAGAAGAGATTTAAACCCTTGAGGCAATTTACCAATATCACATAAGGAGCACCTTTTACAGTTACTGTACGTGAAAGCATAGTTTAAAACAATGTTGTTTTAAAGTTATCATGCTTTTCTATATGCAAATTCTAAATTAACTAATCAACTGAAGTAAAGTTTTTTAGAAGTAAATTCAGCAGAATAAATTAGCCAGGTAAAAACCTTAACAAACCTAGGATTCAGCAAAATTAAGTGTATTGTATACAGTATATGTGGAGTTTGAGCATCTGATTGAGAATTTGTAACTAGTACTGTGAAAAATCTGATTTAAATTTCTTAAAATGTTTCGTTCAGTTCACTTTACCCCACGGGCTCCCTCAGTTTAAATTCCTATATTTAAAGGGCTTTAATAGCGCTTATTCACTGTACTGCAATTCCTAGATTGTATTTTGTAATATGTATTGCAAGTACAATTATTCACAAAACCTTCTATTAAGGCAGAGGGATATGATAAAATAGCCATTTTTAAAATGTAAGATAGCACTTTCATTGATGGGTTTCTCTACTTGTTCTATTGGAATGAGAACTGGATGCATCTCTGCATGTTACATGCCTTCATAATGAATAACTGCCTAACGAATGTTCACTTGCAAGTAGCAGAATCCATAGCTTGATTGAATCAAAATTGTCCCATCTTTTGCCAAGAGTTTATGCTTCACCTATTGAGTGACAGGTTTCTTATCTTCAAAGTCCACCTTGGCTTCTGTTATCTGTCTTCTAGAAGATTATAGCTTTCTTGCAAAACATAGCCTAGGTAATATGAGGAAACTGGCAACATGCCCCCCTAGGCACTGCTCTGAATTATCTTTCCATTTGGAAGGTGAACATCGATGCAGGGCTATTGGAAGGGTAGTTAAAATCAAGATGGTGAAGGAGAACAAAAAATTCCTGCATAGCATTTGAAAAGAGTACAGTAGGAACAGAACAGAATAGAATACTTTATTTGGCCAAGTGTGATTAGACACAAAAGGAATTTGGTTTCAGTGCAGAATTTCTCAGTATACATGCACAGCAACAGATTAATAATCATAATAACACCAATAAGAGGGGGTAGTAAAGATAAGCATGATAATAATAATAAATAGTGATTTGTAATTTAGGACTTATCTTTTCTACTATGCAATCATATTGGTTTTTACCAGCTTGAGCAGGGGGCTGGACTAGAAAAATTTCAAGGTTCCTTCCAACTCTGTTGTGCTGTTCTGTTCTGAAAGATGCAACTTTTTCTCCTGCATTTTAAAATGGGAATTTCTCCCAAGTTATCTGTTCCTATTCTTCGATGCAGGAATTCCCAGTGCAGGTCCATTCTTCTGCTATGTAGTTGGTCTTGTTTTTTTTTTTTTTCAATAAGCCATAAGCAAAGGAATAACCAATAATCATAGAAAGTGGAGAAAGTATTTTCTGTTGTGTTAGGTCTGTCAAAACCTCTGAATTTTGGGATATATTTCATCTTGCTCATAACTCATAAGATAACTTTACAGCTGTTGTTTTCATCTTTTTCTCTATTGTATAGCTTATTTTCACTCTGTGCTAATCCTTCATGGTTTCTGATGCTCTGCAAAAGAAAAGAAAAATACCTGCAAGATCCAATCTGAGTCAGTCACGAGGACCAGAGGTTTAATCTTCCGAGCTTTTGGACTCATGTGGAACCCATCCTCAGGGGATTTCTCTCTCATCAGAATGTAACACCAGATACATTATGTGTATGGGGCTCCAGCACAAGTCCGAAAGCTCAGAAGACTAAACCTCTGGTCCCAGTGAACGATCCAGACTGGATCCTGCAACATTATCCTGGGAAACGTATTTTTTTTTTCGTTTGTGAAAACAATACTTCTCTGTCAGTCACATCATCTAACAGTCTAAACTTACTCTTACCAGTTTTCTTTTCTATTGAGCCTATTATCATCTAGGAGTAGCCCAGCCAGCACTTGATAGTAGGCACATTTTTTCAGTGACTGTTAAATTAGCTTAGAGAAAGGCAAGTTATGTTGGAAACTCTGGAATTATCATGAAGGCTCTTTAACCATCTTACTGTAGAGTTGTGAAAGAGAAGATTTGTTTTATTTAGAATTAGTTTCAGGCCCATGAAGGAGAGTCAAATTGGATTCAAAAAAGTATTTTGTAAAAGTGTTAGACAGTACAAAATCTGTATCATTTAGATTTTGTACTCTCTAACACTCCTACTCCCCAAAAAACCAATTGTATGGCTCATATAAAATTAATTAATTTTTAATAAAATTTTATTGAGTTTTATAAGGTTAGGGAAGGGGTGAGATCAGTATGGGAGTTGGGGTTCGGGGTGGGAATCAGAATTGGGTTTGGAACAGGGATGGGAACAACAATGGGGTTACCCCCCCCATTAACATTTTCAAGCTTTAGCAAACAGACTATTGTTTGGGTACATATGTTCAATAACACTAATTAATATAATAGTAAATAGCTATAGTGAATATGAGAAACAATAATCATAAACAGTGTCAGTTAATTAATACATATCCTTCATCTTACTAAAATATATTTGCAATAAAATGTCACATTCATTTCTCACTAGTTCGTTTTGCTAACCAATGGTAAAAATTATCCCACGTTTATAAATTAATTAATTGAATTAACTGCATCCTGCTGATGTGTGACAACTACTTGAGCAAGCCTATTTTGGCAGCATATGTGCAAAGTGGAATGAGCTAAAGTGCCCAAAGAGTTATAGGTACAGTATATCGAAATTCTATTTAGTACAGATGGAACAAGATTAGTCAAGTACTTAGGAAAGTGTGGCTGCTTTTGAATAGCTCAACTTCATAGCTTTATTGACATCATTATATATTTAGCCTTGTTCTGCTACCTTTTTTCCCAGGTAAAAGTTTGTTCTTATGACGAAAGTTGTTTGAAGGTTCTTCAGATTCAGTTTACAAAGAACTCTTCCTCATGCAGAATTCTGTAAAACCTAAACACAGGTTCCTTATAAATTATCCTGTTACATGACACACCAACCATTGTACAGATCGTCCTCGACTTACGATCACAATGAAGCCCAAATTTCTGTGTTAAGTGAGACATTTGTTAATGGCTTTTGCCCCATTTTACAACCTTTCTTGCCACAGTTGCTAAGTGAATCACTGCAGTTGTTAAGTTAGTAACATGGCTGTTGGGTAAATCTGGCTTCCCCATTGATTTTGCTTGTTAAAGGGGTGTAAAAAATGATCACATAACCTTGGGACACAGCAATGATCATAAATATGAGTAGTTGCCAAGCATCTGAATTTTGATCACATGATTATGGGGATGCATCAAAGATGATAAGTGAAAAATCGTCGTAAATCATTGTTTTCAGTGCTGTTGTAACTTTGAACAGTCATTAAATGAACTGTTGTGATGAGGACTACCTGTATTTACTTTTTCTTGGAATAAACAGCAATCAGAACTATTTAAACTACATTTTCAAATGGCAGTGGGGTCATAGCTACTCTTGGGTTTGGGTTCAGTAGCTCTTATTTAGCAAACACAGTTGGGACCAACAATTAAGTTGTGGGCACTAAGGAGTAAAAAATCACATGACTGCAACTTAGGATTTTACATTCATCTTCTGAGTTTACTGTGCTTCTTGCAAGCCATGTGATAACATGACTGTGGGATGCTGCTACAGTCCTAAATACAAAGATTGGTGAGGTGCTTTTAAAAAATTCATAAGCAAGCCAATATAATTTCACCTTTGTTGTCATTTTTATTGGTAAACAAAAATGTGAGATAGACGAGAGTTAAATTCAAAATTATGCAGGATATACGGGAAAAAGGTGGATTGAAGGCACCTAATTTAAAATTGTATATGATGCGGTGGCTTTAATGTTGATTAGTGATTGGCTCAACTTAACAAATAAAAATATTCTTTCTCTTGAGGGATGGGATTTATTATATGGATGGCACGCGTATTTAATTTATGATTAAAAAGTTAATCAGGTTTTTAAAACCCATATTTTGAGAAGTGCCTTGTTGCGTGTCTGGAAGAAATATTATTATAGATTAAATTATAAAATCCCAATTTGGGGGATTCCAGGACACATGATCGAGGGAGTATCTAGGGGAGTAAATTTGGATAAGATTTCTTATAAGGAATTACTTAGTTTGGTTGGGCAGCATTGGCAATTAAAGCCTTTAACAGAGTTGAAGCAAGAAAATATTGTATATTCTTGGTTTTATTATAACCAATTGTTACTGAGGTGGAGTATAGATCAAAAGGTTGGAATTACTTTAGAGGATGTGAATTTGGTAAAACAGATTAAAGATCAAAGTCGAGCTCATATAAAAAGAATTTATAATGTCTTAATAGAATTGGATTCTGAAACAGAGTTGGTTAAAGATTGTATGATCAAATGGGCCCAAAATATTCAAGAGCCGATTTTATTGGATACATGGGAGACAATTTGGGTTAGAAATGTAAAATTTACTCAAGCGCAAAATTTGAGAGAAAATTTTTATAAAATGTTTTATAGATGGCATTTGGATCCCCAAAAGTTGTCCCGCATGTATCCGAATTTACAGCCTAAATGTTGGAGATGTGGAAACTTAGATGCAACCTATTTCCACATTTGGTGGACTTGAAAATGGTGGCTTTTTGGATTAAGATTTGGTGGAATATTCAAATGATTTTTAAGAAAAAGATTAAGTTTACTCTGCAATTATTTTTGTTGGATATTACTGTAGATTTTGATGTTAAAGAAACTAACTAATAGCTGCAAGATTATTGGTGGGGCAATATTGGAAGAAAAATTTGTTGCCTACTTTGGAAGAAAGGATACTTAAAGTGTCTAATTTAGCAGATATGGCGAAGATCTCCGCCTACTTGAAGGACCATTCACAAGAAAGATATATTATGGTTTGGAGAAGATGGATTGATTATATTCAGAAGAAATATGAAGTTGAAAAGTATTATCTTGCTTTTGAGTAGATTTTAGATAATTATTAATAGTTTTAATTATATTATTATTTTTGACTTAATTTGTTAATATTTGTATTGAGAAGGAGTTAAAGTGTCTTATGGTTTTGATTGATAGTATAGTTGGTTTATGTTAGTTGGATTACATTTGTTTATTAGTTTGTTTTACGCTGTAATCAGCTCTGGGAAGTGTGGGATGGGGGGATGGGGTGGGGGGGTTTATATTGTAATAAATTTATAAAACTTTTAATAAAAAAAAATGTGAGATAGAAATTAAAGACATGGTTTACAATGCCCAGTGAATCACTAGAGCAGGAATAGCACTTTAATTTAAAGATTATTTAATTTAAAGATTATTATTTAAAGATTATTTAACACATAATCTTCAGTTAAAACAATTCCTGTACAAATGGTCCTCAAGTTATGACCACAATTGAGCCCAAAATTTCTGTTGCTAAGGGAGACAGTTGTTAAGTGAATTTTGCCCCTATTATAACCTATCTTGCCACAGTTGTTAAATTAATCACTTTAGTTGTTAAGTTAGTAATACGATTAACTGAATCTGTTTTCCCCATTAACTTTGCTTGTCAGAAGGTCCCAAATGGTGATCACAGGATCCCAGGACACTGCAATCATCATAAATATGAATCAGTTGCCAAGTGTCTAAATTTTGATCATATGACCATGGAGATGCTGCAAAAGTTGTAAGTGTGAAAAATGATCATAAGTCATTTTTTTAGTGCTATTATAACTTAGAACGCTCACTAAACGAACTGTTGTAAGTCAAGGACTACCTATACTTTGTTGCTATCAGCTATGCTCATAATAATTGTTTTGGTTGTTTTTTTTTTTTAAAAAAACCCAAAACCTATTTCTGCATCTAAGTTCCAATAATAAAGTGAAAAAATATAGAATTTTTAATGTAGGCAGAGCATGGGATTTTATACTGAAAAATTTCCTTCTCTGATGTGCAGATTTGTTCTTTGGCATGATATCACTTTTGAATTTAAGTTACAGTTACCCTTTTGGTGGAGTATTTTCTTAGGATTTGATGGAAGCAACCATTTTCTATGACCGCAGGATAAACTGAAATACAGAGTTGTATACAAACCAAAATTGTTCTTGTTTTCTTCTTGCAGCTATCTTGCTGAATCCTAGTTTCTTGTCATTTTGAAATGGAAATTCATACAAATTGACTATTTAAAACAATTGTTTTGAAGCTCTTCTGCCAAAAAAGAAAAATAAAATCTTTGCCCTGCCCAAATGTATGATGTGATTCCCATCTACTTTGCAATATTACTATTTCTTGGCAATTATAATTCCTGCTAACACTACTAAATATAGCCCCTTCTGATCAAAAGGTTGCCCATCCCTGCTTTGGGAAGAGCCACCAAATCCTCTGGTTTTAATTTGGCCTCTTGTTATTCCAACTACAAATAGGAACTTGTGCAGTTTTGTCTCCTCACTCCCCTTTTGCTTAAAACCAAAACGTTTTTGCATCTTTTACACAAATTCTATGAGATTGAAGCCTAGAATAACTCCTAGTAGGTGATGGGAGAAGGCAGCATCTGGGCCTTGAATAGCTTAGAGCAGCGGTTCTCAACCTGTGGGTCACGACCCTTTTGGGGGTCGAACGACCCTTTCACAGGGGTCGCCTAAGACCATTGGAAAACACATATTTCCGATGGTCATAGGAACCGAGAAACTGCTCTCTCTGTTGCAGCCTCACTCTTTTCTATCTTTTCCTTCCCACCTCCCTGCGAGCTTGCAATACCCCTCAGGGCCTCACATTGCCTCCCGGAGGACTCAGCTGTTCGGCGACCAGAAGTGGGAGCTGCTCAGCTGTTGGTTGGGACGCCCATGGAGCTGACACCCACACTGCCAGGTAGAACACCACCGGTCGCTGGTCTTCTTTGCCGCCCCGCACATTGTCCTCGATCCCTCCCCTGCCCGTTCATGTCGAACCCGCGGGGGCTTGATAGGGAGAGAGGGAGGGAAGGAGGAAGGGACTCCTCCTCCTCTCCTAAAGTTCAAAGCATGGTCAGCTTCCCAAGAGCGCCACAATCCCAATTCATATGTTTCTGCCGTACCTCCTCAACGCTCCCAGAAACGGGGTGGGCGGAAGAAAGCTTGGCTGGGCTAAGCAAAGAAAATCCACAGAGCCGTGATCTAAGATCGTAGGCAGGCCGGGGAAGGGGATGAAGAAAAGGAAGGGGATTGGGAGAGAGGAAACGCCAAGCTTGTCCTCGCCTTTCCCAAGGACCTCCTGCACAACCTCACAGGAATACCTGGTTTCAGATTTACACTACAAAAGTTTTTCTCGCACAGAGGAGAGAGGAAAAACAATTGCAGAACACTTGGGAATCCCTTGCAAGGCACCATGTACCTTGGTGCTTATTTCCTAATGCCTTCCCCCCGTATTTTCTGCTCCACCCCAAATTCGCCTCCCTTCCACTCTCCTTGCGCAGCCATCTATGGTCTTAATACAGCCCTCAGTCTGTCTCCCTTTCAACACCCCCTAAAATTCTTCATTCAGGCAGGCTTCCAGAATTCGGCTGGCAGGATGCAGGTAACCCCTCCCCCCTGTCCTGCCGCCTCCCATGGCACCGCGCCGCTCTGTGTCTCGTGCCTCAAGCCTCCATGGCACAGGACCGTTAGCGTGGTCCCCAGCGGGAGGTGAAGGGGGCGGGCGGGGGGGTGGGGGTCGACCAGAAGGGAACTGGGTCTGATAAGGGCGAAAGTTGAGGTTTTCCCCCTCGCCACTCCCTCCGCCTCTCTTTATGCAGCGGCGTCTCTGGCTGCTGCCTTCCCAGTCACCAAGAAAGGGGGAAAAAAGAGCCGTGAGCAAGTTCCCCTTTCTGCCTCCGTTGCTTAAAGCTTTTTTTTTTTTTTAATGACCACTCATTCAGAACTACTTGGGGCTTGTTTGCACGAGCTTGTGGCAGATCAGTAAATGGGTGGGGGAGCCAAACCGTCCAAGGCGTTTGCACCCTGAGCGTGTGGGCGCTGCTTTCATGACTTGCCACCCCCGCCCCCTCTCTTCCCGCCCTGCTCTAGCAATACGCTGCTGCTGCTGGCTGAGCTGAGCTGAGCTGAGCGGCGCCGAGCTGATCCCCATGCCTCCTGATTGCCCGGCCGCGCTCCGCCCCCGGCCGCCCTCTGCACCATGCCGGAGCCTCCCCTGCGCTGCCCGGCCTGCCTTCCTCACCGTCGGAGGGCATCTGTGTGTGTCTCCAGACCTTACTGGACTGCCATCCCCAGCAGCCCTAAAAAGCACTGTGGAAGAGTGGGGAATGCTGGGAGTTGCAGTTCATCACTATCTGGAAAAACATGACTCTCCAAAGATCAATCCTTCCTTCCTTCCTTCCTTCTCCATCTCCATCCCTTCCCCTGCAATCTCTCTCCTTCCTTCCTTCTTTCCTTCCCCCTTCAATCTCCTTCCTTCTCCATCTCCTTCCTTTCCCCTTCAATCTCTCTCTCTCCTTCCTTCCTTCCTTCCTTCCCCCTTCAATCTCCTTCCTTCTCCATCTTCTTCCTTTCCCCTTCAATCTCTCTCCTTCCTTCCTTCCTTCCCCCTTCAATCTCCTTCCTTCTTCATCTCCTTCTTTTCCCCTTCAATCTTCCTTTTTTCCTTCCTTCCCCTTCCCTCCCTCCCAACATTTTTGAGCAAGGAAGAGTAAGCTTCTCCATCAAGCATTGCTATATTGTTTTTATGATTAATCTCTGCTTTAATTATGTTCAGTTCGTAACAATGAAAATACCTGCATATCAGATATTTACATTATGATTCATAACAGTAGCAAAATTACAGTTATGAAATAGCAACAAAAATAATTTTATGGTTGGGAGTCACCACAACATGAGGAACTGTATTAAGGGGTCGCGGCATTAGAAAGGTTGAGAACCACTGCTTTACATGCTACTGATGCACTAAACCAGCTCTCTGCTTTGTAGGTATATTTACATTTATTAAAACAAATTATTAAGACATAAATTATTACTAGATACAAACCTCTGGAGCAAAGTCAGAATGACATTTTAGTTGCATAAATAAAAAAAAATCACAGATACTTTTTCCCAAGATCTGTCAATAGCAGAAAATGCAGATAAACTCTTTTTTATATATGCTGTGTCAAGAATGAAAGCTAGCATGAGGCCATATACTTGGCCAATTGAATTACCTACAGTTTGTTTATTTCTCACAGTCCCATCAAGTTCTAGCCTGGTGGTGAGGAATCCAACATAAATATTTGAAAATGTGGATTTTGCACCACAATAGGGATCAATGCATATTTTGTGCCGCCTCTTCTGAGTAAGTGTAAGGCGTCACAGGAATAGACAGGACAGATACCAATGCAATCATGTTACTCAGGAAGACTCTAGTTCAGATTAACTTCTGTATCCAGGCTCCCTAAAGCATACAGTGTTCCAAAATGATTGTTCAAAATGTTCTGTGGGATGCTGGGGAGACACAAACAGCAGTTCACAGTGAAATCACTGCATGCCTGTAAGCAGATGTTGCTTGTGTCTTCCTCTCAGTCACAGCTCTTCGTGAACCCAACATACTATATAAATGTGTTGGTATGCACCTTCTCTGGAAAAACCTTTGATTTGCAACAGAGAGAGCTGGGAAACAGCGCAATGCAGGCAGCCGTCTTGACTGCTTTTTCTACATTACATCATACTTTGCTTGGCAACATAATCTGCTGTATGCTGGGGTGGGAGGGGCCATGTGCATATGAGCTTAGTCCCAACAACTGCAGAAGAGCTGGGCTGAGTTTGACTGAATTAAATCCATTCAAACAGTTGCAGCAGTTAAGTCTTCTCATTCTTGTTCTGGGAGTGTTGGTGTGATAATCTGTAACCTCACGATTTTTAAATCTGTGGCATAGCCCCAATGACGCTTTGAGGGCAGATCTGTTGGCTTTATCATGCACCCATTCTAAACACAGAAATATGGAGTAGCATAAGAGGAGTGTTCTGTATCTCTGATGGGGAAAAGTGATAGTTTATGATCAGTCCCTTATAAATTGCAGGCTTTAGATACACAAAGCAAAAGGAAATATTTACTTTCTTACAATTAACTCATGCATGGAAGAGAGTTTAGAGACAGCTGGAGTTTGCCAAAGTGCCTCTAAATTTGGTAACTGAATAGATAAATCTGCCATATTCAAATCAGTGACCCAATGGTCCGAACCTGCATTATCCTGTTCAGAACAGACAGGGACTTTTGTAACTTTCCATTCATAGAAACTCAGAAATACATAAATTTGGGATGGAAATCGTGGGAAGTTAGATACAGTCATTTCAGGACTCCCATGTCTTATCCTTCCAATGCCCCCTCCCTATCCTGCCCATCTCCATCCTGGTTTCTGGCTTGCCTGCAGAGGGAGATCCAGTTTACAATTTGTTACAATTGTGGATTAGAACTCCAACACAAAAGTGGAGTGGGAAGAGATCCAAACCTGGCCATTCCTGCTGCCAGGAGACTTCCACCGGGGGGAAAAAACTTCTTTAGATCAGATACTGGCAATCTGCGGTTCACAGGAATCTCATGAATCTCCTTTATCTCCCCTAAAGATCTAAATGCAACTACTAAAAAGGAGTGGTCCTCTTGTCTACCATTTTAAAATTATTTCAAAAAGACCAAACAGCAACAACAAAAACAGACCATGTATAAATGCTCTTACTTTCAGGCAGGGCTGAGAGGCAACCCTGGCTAAAATCCTGTGCAGCTGTTGCTTCTTGCTGCTGGTTATGCCCTGAAGCCCTGACTGGACTAAATGACCCCTATTGCTACCATTTTGGCAGAAGAGCTGAAGGAGGGTGGGATTTATTTCAGTCCATGTATTTGCTAATTTGATAGTGTGATATCAATTCTGAATTTGATAAAAAATATCTTGAAAGTGAAAAAGCCCACAAATAAGAATAAGGTACACAGCATATTCTTACAAGATAATGATTTGGATTGCTTTTCTAATTAAGTGCTTAGGAAGATTGTGCAACTGACACAAAAACTGGCAATCTATATTTCTAGCCTTAGGTGATCATGCAAAATCCTAAGTTTTTTTTCCCTAATCTATGTTAATAAAGAAAAGTTGAACCACAGCTTTGGTCTCAGAACATCTAGGACAAAAATGTAAAGATCAAAATGAGAAACAGAAGAAACTGGTTCCAAGTATATATTATATAAAATAACAAGCTGTGTAAAATTACACCAGGCTTCCGTAGTAAATACCTTTACATAAGTAAAAGGTATGCTGCTCAGCTCAAAACAAGCCAAGAAATGTGCTATTGAAGGATAGACTATCTGGGCAGATTCCAGAGGCAGTTTACAAAATATACAGATGTTTTCACAGCTGTCAGATTCAGCGGCTACCCTTCCCCTGTTTTGAAAGTATGCTACCCAGGTTACCTTGCTCCGTAACTTCTCTCCCCCACCTAGGCAGCGCAGAACAATGTGCTGGAACTTGATCCAGGAAACTTTTTATCCTAATAGTAAATACTATAGTGTAAAAGTTTGATTTGTCAGCAAGAAACATATAAAGTATAGTCTCTTTCAGATTTTGAGTGTTGTGTCATCTTTCCATTGTGTATAGAAATTTTCTTCATGGAACTTAAATTGTCTTGCTGTGAGCTCAAACAAATATTCAAGTTAGAAGTCATGTTTAATAGGATGGGAGACACATGTGTTTTTCCACATCAAGATACAGACTCTAAATTTTCTGTTTCAAACCTGGTTTTAGATGATTTGCCTCTTCCCAAATCCTGTCCCTAATTGCAAATTTATCTATGTGTCGGACAAAATGGAAAGCAATTGCTCCCCATAATAGCTTGCAAAAAAGAATTGTAAAAAAGACAGATTGGATCAGTTTCCTTTCCCAAACTTTTCCTACTGC